ACGGCGCCCCTCCGAGGCGAACACGGCTGCGGCGCAACATGAGGGGCTTACGGGAATTCCGAATTTCGGGGTTTGCGCTTTCGGGCCTGACGCAAGGGTTTTCGAGACAGTTTAGGAAGAGTAAAAACCTCAGCTAGTTTTTGTGAAACTCGATCGAACCACAACCCAGGACCCCAACCCCCAACCTCAATTTTTGCAATGCCAAACGATTGAGATGGAATCTTGCAGATGGCTGTCTTGAGACCTTGACCAGTTGGCCCTTTCCAAGCCCTCCGCCACAAACGTTATCCAGGGACACACCTTTGTTTCGGTTTTCTATACCTGTACCTTAAACTACCGTCATAAACTACTTTCTGGTAGGTTCTGATTCTGCACACCCTCATAAGGCGCCAATCTGCCCCACAGACAAAGTAGGCTTTGGTGGGTTACGGTAGGGCTGTCAGATCTGGTGGTTTAGGATTCTTGAAGAGGCTTTAAAGTGTTAGGGTTGATAAGATAGGGACAGACCGATCGGGAGCCTCATTTTTTGCTGAAAGCCCGAATAGCCCACGATCTAGATCCAACGCCGAGGCAGCAGAACCAACACCCTAGGTGCCAACGCTCTATAGAATACAATAAATTAAACCTGTTCTCGAAACTTGTCCAAGTTCCTTTTACCCTGGAACCTCAGCCAAACGCATACCTTAAACCCTAATTCCGACTCTAAACCCGAAACCTCCACCAGCCTAAGCAACCTTAAAGCCTAAATCCCATTTAATTAAAGTCCCTAAACGTTGAACTTCTCCCCGAGCTCGCGGCCGCCCAGGCCGTGGTCGACGGCGCCATCGATGTTGGAACGAGGCTTTTGCAGCGCTGGCTTGGGGCTTCGGAGCTCCAAACCCGTAAGGAGGTTTCCGGAGCTCCAAGTGCTTAAGGAGGTTTCGGGGGGATTACATATCTATGGGCCTGGTAACTAGTAGGGTCTTTGAGGCTTTCAGACGTACTGCCGGAGCGTAGTCCAGGTGTGCTGTATGGGTGAAAGATGCTGTGGCAGTTGCGAATCTCAAACAGCATGAAGGGTGGAAAGCTATAAGCTTCAACCTCTGAGCAGTACGGCTATGTTTGCCGGGTTTGGCAGGCCACTCTCGCAGCCAAGGTGCCGTCGCTGTGGGGTGCAATGCAGGCTCTTACAATGTATGCATGTTTGCACCTGCACTCCAGATACCACCAGCAGCTTTCTCGTGGACATCCCTCGACACGAATCTCCTTCACAGAGCCTTGCTGGTTTTTGGTGCCGGGAGCAACTTGAGGAATCTGCATTTGTTCCGCAGAACTATAAGCCATATTTTGGGTGAACAGCAAGTCTGCGATCGGTGCAGAGGTTCAGGGTTGAAGGGAGTTTGCCCTAAGTCGACAGGTCACTTCAACCGATCGCAACAAGGAGCCCGATCTGAAAGGGTTTAATTATATACTCCCGCAGCCTTAGCCGCTAAGCTCCGTTTTCAAGTCAGGCCATGACTCTGACCTTCATGATGCATGCTGATTCTCCGGTGCTCAAGATCTGAAGATGTGATGAGACTAGGCTAGGCATGAGTTCTGGGCTTCGATTTTTCCATCTCTAGCTCAGGTAATCTTGACACTGGAAACCCACGGCCTAACAAAAGGCCTAAAATACCTAAAGCGTGGGACTGAACCATGGGAGCACGAAAATACCCATCACTTCAAATCTCTTGTATGTCGCCACTCACTTTCATCGGCTCAGAGGCAGCTGCTGAGGCCCCTTGTGATTGTGTAGGAGTCAAGGCTTCAGGGATGTGGTGTTCAATACGGGGATGCGCGAGTGACTTGCAGAAATACTTCAGGGCTTATGGGCTTTAGGGCTTCATGGACTTGGATTTTGTGTGGTTATACTGTTGACCTTGGGGGTGAGTCTAGACCGAAAGAGCCTCCAAGCAGCCTGCAAGTCATGGGATGAAGTAATCTATTCTTGCGGATCTAAGGGCTTTACGATGCTGGTGTTGAGGGATTGTAGGTCTTGGGTTTATAGTTTATACAGCAGCTTCTCTGAACAGCTCCGCTTCCTTCGCCAAGGAGCCTCATTAATCCCTCTGGAGTTCGGCGCACCCATGCTCAAATCCGTGTCGAGGCCAGGGCACCCATGCCCGAACCACGACAACGTCAATGCTGTTATCTAAGCCCTTTGGAGGTAAGAGCATCCTTGCCCGAACCGTGGCTGACATCCATGGGCTATCCCGCGATAGAAACCGCAGCATCCATGCCCGAAACATCATAACGTCTGTGTAACACTTTTTGAGGTCAGAGCCTCCATGCCCGAACCGTCATAATGTCCATGCCATAATCCGTTTGGAGGTCAGAGCATCCTTGCCCGAACCGTGGCTAACATCCCTGGACTCACCAATTTTGAAATCAGAGCATCCATGCCCGAACCGCGATAACGACGGTCTAACCCTGTTTGATGTCAGCATCCAGGAAATAATCCATTGGTTGGAAGTAAGAGCATCCTTGTCCGAATCGTGTCCATGGGCTAACCATTCTTGAAATCAGAGCATCCAGGCCCTTATTGAAATCAGAGCACCCAGGCACGAGCCGTGAGAACCTCGGTTTAATCGTTTTTGAGGCCAAAGAATCCATGCTTGAGTGGTGATAGCGTCGATGCTCTAGTCCATTTTTTGGTGCTGGCGATCCAAGTCACTTGTGCCCTCTTTCGCTTGTACTGGCCCTGGCAAAAGCACACAGGATCAAGACACTGGAGATTGGGCCGAAGGCGTATCTTTCAACTCACTACTTTTCGCATGACAAAGACACACCCCAACCAACCAACCAACCAACCAACCAACCAACCAACCAACCAACCAACCAACCAACCTCTCTGGAAGACAACACTTTGCCCACGAGTGGGCCTTCTTCTTCTTCGTCCTGTCCGGGATGCCGCGCATCTCCACGGCAATGCCAAGCAAGGGGCGCGGCTCCGTGGGTGACTTGAGCAGCAATGTCGCAGGGTTAAGGTCCGTTAGCTCCACATCCTGGTATTTCACACCGCCCAAAAACCCAAGCCCAAACCATCCGCCGGACATGTGCTCACTTACCACGATGGGGCGACGAGTTGGGCCGAGTTTACAAATACTCTGTTTAGCTCTGGTCGGCACCTGGGCAGATGACAAACATCTGCTCCCGACCGTCCGCGTGCGGCATAGCATCCGCGACGCGGCTTTCTTGCTTCGTCTGCGCTTGTGGGCTCAATCCAAGAACCCTGCCTGATAGAAAGGGCCTCAAAGATTCTACCTCGGATAGCCGCGACCATTTCTTGAGGACCCCCGCGGACACAAACCTCCTGCTCGCAGCAACTCACAGCAAGGCCCGAGGTTTTGCAAAGGCCCTGTTTTGTTCCGGGTATATGTAGCAACCAGATCTGCGAGCGTTCCGCAGATTTCTAACCTATTCCGGGTGATACAGCAAGCCTGCGATCGCTGCGGAGGTCCAGCGTTGATGGGTGCTTACTTACCCTAAGTCCACACGTCACTTCAACTGAACCCTGAACCCTGAGAGCCCGATCTCAAAACTTTACGGCAAAAGGTCTCAGGAGCACTTCGCAAAGGCAAGGCATCAACTTCCAAGACTTCGCAAAGGCAAGGCATCAACTTCCAAGCCCCCGAACTCACTTGGAGTGACGAGATAGCTTCGGTCTAGGGTTTGAGGGTTAGGGCTTCGGGTTTGAGCCCCACTAAAAAGAAAAAAATGTCGAGCTTGCGGGTTGTTTACTCGGAACTACAGGTATCCTTGCCGTTCGCATACAGCTTCTGCGAAGCAAGATGGAGCCTCTGCTGCGATCCCAGCTGGATTTCATGCCCTCTTCTGCCTATTGCAGACAAGCATGAAAAGCCGCAGAATCAGGAACTCTGCTGCTTGTGCGCGCAAAGCGCTTGCACCTCAGCAGCCTCACAGCTTCAGACTCTGTCCTTGCCCAGGCGGCTGGTTCCCAGCATCCTTGGCGGGAGCTGTTCCTCCACCCTCCCCGGGACTAATTTCTCGAAGGCCAAGCCGTCCAAGGTTCAATAGGATCCCAAGTTTTTTCTTGACATGGCTTAGATCTTGAATATACTGTAAGGCCCCACTCGAAGCCACATTCCAATTTGATGATAGCGCTCTGAACTTCTTCGGATTCTCGTTCTGCACCTAACCATGCTTGTCCGACTCGGCCCAGGCAGGCCTCCCTCATGATTTGCCAGCCGGGCCACGGACAACCTCACCCTAAGCCCCTAACTTGAGGAACTGAACCGACGACTCCCTTCCCACGTGCCACTCGACAGGCCTTTGCATTCAAAACCCGTTCCGCAAGCCAACACAGCGACACGAAACTAACGCACTTGCTTATCCGATGAAAATGGTGTCATGGCCATCAGCACAGTGCTCCACGTTGTCCCCTTCCGATCTGAACATGTGAACCAAGCAGAACGGATGTGACAACAAGCTGAGCTCCTTGCATGAAATGGGTGGCAACCACTTCACCTGTCGCAGGCTGCAGACTGCACGAAGCAGATGTGCCGCAAGGTGGCTGTCGCGATTTGTGCCAGCACTGAAATTCGCAAAAGGACTCACCATCCGACAACAGCTGCCCACTTCTCGGTATCCGTGGCGGCATGTGAGGAGGATAGGATGACAAATCTCCCTTCCCGCCGCATCCGGGCGAAGGCGAGGGAAAGCACAGCAGGAACACACATGCAAGATCCCGAGCACGCCTTGGTGCCCCAGCCGCCGCTGATCGCCTTGACAAGTGGAGCTGTCACCGTGGCGAGCTACAGTAGGTGACAACACATGCCTTTAACTCTTGAAGGCCGAAAAAGTGAAAAAGGCTGATCCCCGGACGGAACAAGCAAGTGCAGAAGAACTTGTAGAAAAGGTGCAGTCTGCAAAAGGCCCGCTTTCTGTGGGCTTCTCCGTCGGTGCAGCCCCCGCACTGCGTTCCCACCAATCTAGTCAAAACTCTCCGACCGGGTAATTAGTTAATTACACCGGCTGGAAACCCAACTTCCGAGAAGGAATAGCTCCAAGAATTTCAACCACCGTCTCATGAATTGCTGGCATGCGGCCAGCTTCGCATCGCCTTGGAAAGGCATGTCGAAGGAAGTCACCTGAGCTGCGTTTTCGAGGCTTCAGGATTCAAGGCTGACGCGGATTTCCGCACGACACCCACAAGGACTTGAACAGAAAGCCCAGGCGGCACCTCGAGCATCTGCTCTCGGGTGTCTCCGACCATGACCTGCAGTCCGCGCGGCTGAGCTGACGCAAATTCTCCGAACTCACTGTCAGCTGAAACAACTGGCCCGGCAACGAAGGCCACTGGTGAATTTGTTTTCAAGTTCGGACCCCTTCGTAGAAAGGCTTGCACACACCGGCAAATCTGGCCTTGGCCACTCGAGCGTCCAGGTCCGCGATCACCTCGATGTACCTTGCGCAAACATGGTGAGGAAACGATCGTCTGGAGAGCCCATCCCCCCGGCTGCAAACCCCTTCACACATTACACGTGAGACTCCGTGTGACGGTCCATCTGCGCTCTTAGGAGCGGACTTCATGTAGATGTCAAAAGCCTTGGTGGCTGCGTCCGCTGTCGGTTCCCGCGGCATTTTCACTTCGACGCCTCGGGGCCTTGGGGGATGCCTCCAACACACACCTTAAGAGGGAAACTTCCCGGACGTCAGCTCCTGCTGAAGGCCTGCGTCAACCCGAAATGGTAGACAGGCCTCTCTGCCTGCAAGCGACAGGCTTTCCAACTTTGTCGCTCGTCTTTTCCGACTTGATGCCGTAGCCCGGGTTGTTGTGCAGGAAGTCGGTCTGGGCGGAGGGACGGCGAAGGGGGAACGCTCCAAGGTCACCCGGGAACCCTGCGGGTCCGACAGAAGTCCCCGAGCAGAGAGTTCGAAAAAAAGAGCTATGCACGTCTTCGCTCCGAGGCGCATCCTCCGCTTCCCCCGCAGGGATGACGCCAACCTCGAACCAATCATTGCTTTCCTGGCTCTTGATGCACCTCGAGCTCAAGGCCGAGCGCTCCGAAGGTTTGTGAACTTCGCCCTGCCGCCCAGGCGCCAGCGCAGGATCCCCCTGGACGCCGTCTCCGCACTCACGAGCCTGAGCCGATGAGCGTGTCTGCAGGCCTTCGGGGACGTCCGGAGATGCAGAGGGCATGTGCCAACCCACGCCAAACTCCTCAGCCAGCGAGAATCTCTGGCTGCAGTCAAGCAACAGGGTAGGTCCCCAGCCTGGCCCGTGAGACGCTTCTGAAAGCATGGCAGCTCGAATGCGTAAACATACGAACTCGTAATCGCCTGCAACACGAAACGTCCGTCGCTTCGTGCAGATGCTTTGTAGCTGATCCGGCATGTTTTCTCCGGCAAAGAAATCATCCTGACGACTAGTGCGAGGAAGTCACGTCCGCTGCATCCCAAGGAAGCCGAAGCTGACCTACCAAAAGCTGAATCCCTCCCAAAGGTCCGAACTCAACCTCGAGCGACGATCTTTGCCTCCCGCCATTTAAATTGAGCCGAGCCCTCCTCGCGGCGGCAGCCCGAACCCCGAAGGCTGCGGCTGCTTCCGTGCCGAGTCGCCACATTCCGCTTCATCGCCGTCGAAGCGCCACCCATGTCGCCCGCCGTGCCTCGGAGACCAAAGGGTCGAGGCGACAAAGCATCGCCGTGAGCATTGCAGACCCGAAGTCAAGCTGAAGCGATGGCCCAGTGGGGCTCTGCCCAACCGGTGAGCGGACTTGGAGGCTGGGGGTGCTCCGGCTGCTTTTTTCTCGTGTGTACAGAGCTGCTGCAGTCATTAAGTCCCTGGAGTAAGCATGGCAACAAGACCCCTGAGCGGCCTGGTCGCCTGGTCGTTAGCCTGGAGTCTTTACATCAGAAAGGGAAGGAACCAACCGAGATCTGCCATATGGTCTAGCAGTCTAGCACGGACCCGACTCTACGACTCTACGATCCGCCTGTAGGAGAGGAGCTGCGGGGACTTTCACCGAGTGGCTCCTTGTCGAAGGTGGCATACACTTCCTGCCGGGAAACCTGCGGCTACGGGAGCTCCAGCTGCACACGGGGCTCGGGTAGAGAGGCACATTTGCTGGAACTCGCACGGACAGAAGCACTGCCGTGTCCATTTGTGAACTCTCACACCAGGGTACCTTCGGGAGGAAGACAATCTGCTCTATTTGCGCTCCCTCATACTTCAATTCTTTCCCTCCTGTTGGATCCCTCGCCCGATGCTGCCAATTTGTCGTGCTGGAAAAAGAGAAACATGTCAGCGGTGCATTTCGCGCGTTGCACGCTGTTTGCGCACATTGAGAGTCACCTCGTTGCCTCTTCGGTTGTCTTCATGTATAGATGCGCGCGCCGTCTCGCACAAGCCTGGCAGAGGAAACGGCCCGCCTCTGCCAACGGGTCGAAGAGAAGCTCCGTGGGCGCTGGGATGCTGTTGCTCTCGGTGTTCCAGACGCTCGAGGTCTTCACCGCTGCGGCTTTTGGCTTGGGCCTGGAGGCTTCCGATTGGCTGCTGGCTTTCGGAGGCGATGCAGAGGTGCGCCAAGGGTTCAGGCGATGCAGGGTGTTCCAGACACCCGACGGCTTCACACTTGAAGAGGTGCCCTGGACTGCGTCGGGATAGCTCTCCATCTGCCGTGCTTCTGCTTCATCCTGCGGGCTGGGATTCGCAGCCTCGGCAGCGGCCTGGGCCAGGGCGGCCTGGTGCCTCTTCTTCGCGGCTTCCGCCACCCTTGGGGAGTCGGCCTCCCGAGCCGACAGCTCCGCATCCCGATACTTCACCCCGCCGAGGAACTCGAGCCAGCCACCAGGCACGTGGTCGTTCACCTGTATTAGTCAATTAGTCAAGGTCCCCGGCAAAGTGTTGAAGAGACACAACTCTTGTGGACACAAAACAGGCAAAGGCAACACTCTCCCAAAAGTGCCACTACAAGTCACTACAACTGCCAGAAGCTGCGCTCGAGTAATGCCGCGGTAGAGCTGTGCCCGAGTTTGTAGATCCTCCGTTGAGCTCTGGATGGCCGAGTCCAAGCCTGCACACACCACAATCATCTGTTCCAGACCGTCCGCCTGCTCCATCGCATCCACGATGAGGCTTTCGTGGTTCGTCTGCGCCTGCCGGCTGCGTCCCAGAACCCTTTCCGGTAGACAGGTCAGTGACTTTGCGAACGATTCCAGGCGGAAGGAGCGATGCGAGATCTGATGGTTCAGAGTCTTCTGCAAGCTTGGCTTCAACTGGTCGAGAAAGTCCACACTGGGTGTCAGGATTGCTACTCGGCGGTGTAGCGACACACCGGGAAGGACCTGTTCGACGTACATCACGGCCTTCACGATCTCACGGGCATACGCCTCGAACTTCTGGCTTTTCTCTTCGAGTTGAAAGAGGAACGTCTTCAGAGGCGGACCGTCTGTGCCTAAAGACGTCACTGTCTCCTCGGTGCCGGCGTGCAGCTGGAAGGAGGCCGCTCCGGCCACGATCCGCTTGGTGCTCCGGACCACCTCCGTCAGCTTGACCCGTTGCATCTCCGGGTAGCTCTGGCTGATGGCTGAGGACTGAGACTCGTCGGACAGCAGGAGCCGCCGGCGCGCCCTCATTCTGCCTTCAATCATCTGGCCCACGTCGGAGTCGTTGTGCAGGTACCTGTGGCATTCGTCGCAGACCGCAAGCTGAAAGTCTTCGGGACCGATGTCCTCTTGCCTATGGACGATGCGGTCGCCATCCAGCGACGGTGCCTTCATGTGGGTGAACGGATCATGCAACAGCCTCAGGCGAGAAAGGACGTGGTCGATCTTGTCAGCGAGAGCTGCGTCACCTTTGGGGCTTTGTGCTGCGACCCGGGTCGCCAGCCACCTGACGAAGTGCAGGCCCAAAGCTTCAGATGGTGCCACGAACAGAACTGTTCCGGAAGGGTTTTCGTGCAGAGTGTCCATAACATGCTGCACTGCTACGAAGGTCTTTCCGGCTCCTGCCGGGGCAGATAGGTGGATGTCCTGGGTCGCTCCTTGCATCTCGCCCAGCTTTTGCAGCTGATGCGCCGTCAAAGACTCCAAAGCAAGAAGGCTGTCTTCGTACAATTCGAAGAAGCGCTTTTTGTCTACTTCCACCTTGCACGTTGGTGCTCTGCTGGCCAGCTTCTCATTGAAGTTCCGCTCGAAGTCTCCATTCAGCACGCGATCCCGGACTGAATGGAGCTCCACTATGCCGGAGATCTGGATGGTAGCACTGATAGCCTGGGCACCTGTTGGCAGCCTTGCTGCCTCATGTGCTGTTATGTCCATGCCGGATAGGCATTCACTCAACAGCCCCAGCAGGAATTCATGACCTCAGTCGCTCACACTTCTTTGAATTCGTCCCTTGCCTTGTCCCTTGCCCTGCTCCTGCCCGCCCCTGCCCCTGCCCCGCCCCTGGCCTGCCCACTTTGCTATGTGTTGAATGTGTTGAAGTACCTTAGAACTTCCAGCACGCCTTACATCTTGCACCTTTCACCGTACCGTTCATTCCCCTTACCTTACCCCTCACCTTAAGCTTCACCTCACCATACCTTACCTTACGGCACCTTACCATACCTTACCTTAGCTTTTCTTCATTAACTTCTCAGATGATCTTAGATTGTTGCCTTCCCCTGCGTACCCTTTCGTGCACCGTACCTTTCCTTACCTTGTCTCACCTTGCATTACCTTGCCTTGCCCCCCTTGCTTTGCCGTACTTGACTTCGAATTGCATTACATTACATGGCAAAACATTACCTCACATGGAAGTACATGGCATAAAATGGCAGCGCGGTTCATAACTTTGCATGGTATTGTGCTGCATAAAGCTGCTCTGCATTGCAGCACGTCGGAATACATCGCCTGACACTGCATGGAGTACATTGCACAGCACTATTGTGCTTTATGGACTAGGCTTCGCTACTTCGCAATACAGCGGCGTATGCCTATTCATCTATCGATCTTTCTATGTACACAAGTGATATGTTGCTATATGCTGTATATATATATATACACACATATATATATATATATATATATATATATATATCACGATGCTGCATTCTTGCAGCATGCGGTAAATTTTACATAACGGGTATGTGGCATACGCCCTATACTTGCGTGCATGCACACATACAGGCATCGGTCATGCAGAAGATGACGCAGCAAGCGAGTCGCGAGTGCACGCGCGATCTGAGAGTTGAATCCCGCCACCGCCGGTGCGCTGAGGCCCGGACCGCAGGCCTTCCGGATCTGCTCGATGGACAAGCTCGCGTGGCGAAGATCGTGGGCTTCGAAGATCTCCTGCAGGCTCTCTAGTGGCTAAAAGCTTGGACCGGGCGGAGGCTCCAGAAGTTTTAGGGGGTTGAAGGTGGCACTCTGTGCAGGTTGAAGTTTCGGCAGCTTTAGATGTTGAGAACTTTGTCGGGCATCCGTGTCCTGAGTCTTCTCACATCTCACCTTCCACGAGATCTTGCCACTGCCACCTATGGTAGCACGTGTTTTCTGCTGCACCAACACACCTCTGCGCCATTCCTCTCCACCCTTGCTGTCAGTTTTGGCATAGACGGGACAGCCGGCAGTGAATTCAGACCCGAGGAAATGGGCCACATCGACCTCATCGTAGTCCCATTTGTTGCCTTCGTCTTTCCGCAGCCGGTCGAGCGTTGCAAGTTCACACTTCTGGGATCCGCCGCATCCGACGTTGTCCCAGAGGTTCACGGACTGGCGCGAGAGCTCTTCCATGGACAGCTTGCCTTGCCCGACTTGACCTGGAAAGAAAACGGCTTTGAGCCGCTGCCCCTTGGCCACAGCTTCGCGGACACGTTCCAGCCATTTGGGGTACCAGGCACATCCCCAGGAGGCCACACACCCACATTCCCGCCACTGAGCTTCTGCCTGCTTGAGGGCCTCTTCTTTCTCGGACTGATGTGCCTCAGCTGACCGCTGAAACCATCGCTGCCGTGCAGCATGCGGAGATACGTGATGTGGAGCACAAGTGCCCGAAGGAGCCTGCTTGTTATTACACAATCAAGCACAGCTGCATCTTCGCGCACGAACACCGCATTCATAGCAGCCGCCATCTCCTGGTGCCTGCAATGGTTGCAGATGTCGAGTCCCAACACGGATGCAGGTGGCGAAATCTGGCGAAGTCGGGAACTTCGTTTCAATGACTAGAGCGACCTATCTAGCTGGCTCGGTATGGCAGCAGATCCTTTAATCTCTGGTTTTCAAAGTCTTATAGTCGAGTCAAGTCACTAATTACACTCGCTATGCTGCAGAGTATCGCGAAGGATCTAGTACGACATGATCTTTGTTGCTAGGAAGTAAACTTTGCAGCCGCTCTGAGAGGCGCAGAGATATGCTCCCCAAAGGCAACCGAAGCACCTCTCAAGCCGCTCGGGCGTGAAGGGCGGCTGCATGACCATGAGGTATCCGAAGGACCGGAAGTCGCGAACGCCGTAGATCCTTTCTGTCGTTTTGGGCGCCAGGGATTTTGGCTGTGTTCCAGGGGTCTGAGGTCTGAAAATGCTTTTACGTGCACAGTCACGACATGTCACGACATGCTGCAGGTCTTCATCCCAACTGCATGCTCATGGAAGGCCTTCGGAAGGCGGATCCTTCACCCCAAACCACACCTGCAGAGCCCAAACCAAACTCCCGAGATCCTCTGGCAGTGGCACTTCCCTGGGTTCTGGGGATCCTCGAGGTGCTGGCCGAGACCTATGGAGCGTCAAGAACAGCTAATTCTAGAGTTCTGGAAGATGCACAGGAACGGAGGAGACTGCAGACAGCAACAGATGAGCCGATTGATGAGGGATAGCAATGCACAGCAGAATGTCATGACACAGCATGACCTCTCGAGTGTCACATAATGACGCGAAACACCTGGTGTAAAAACGTGATCGCATGTTCATCGTGTACACCATCGTATGACGATCACGTGTCTTGCAGTTGTGTCCGTGAAGTATATAGAAGCCTGATGCCTGCGTTTACGCCCGTGCACGAAGCCTGTGAGCATCAGACGGTGATGTACTATGAGACCGAGCACTCTATCGGAGTATGACAACCAGCTGGAAGTCACGCTGGAAGTCACGGTGTGTGCCTCCATGGACATGCAAAGCGCATGATCAGCACATGGTGATGTGGTGAAAGATGTGTTTCCTCGCGGCTTAACCAGCCAAAACCCATCGTGCACGTGTCTCGTCTATCTCCAGGTGATGCGTAATTACACACGTCATCCTATATACTATATACCATGACGTGCTCTAGGAAGCACTGGAGGTACTACAGCTAATTAAATTAAAGGTAATGGTGTCCGCGTACAGGTATGCCCCATACGAAGCCTGGGAACATGCATTCTATCGACGTACTACAACTTGAGACGACAAGTAGGCTTTGAACACTGAAACTCTGGGCCAACGCCAACCGACACGACAACATGATCTTACGCACCAACCAAAATCATCCAAAAGCTTAGGGTGCTGGAACGGGAGGAAACGCAGAGTCGTCAATCCTTCATCTACATCTGTGAAGGGTTGGTGGTTGTGCCAGGTTTCCCGGGCCTACAACCACCAAAATACGGAGATGTAAAGTGCAGAGATCCAGTTTCTCGCAACTTCACACGAGTGCTTCACGGAATGATTCATTATTGGCATTCGGCGATTCAGTGATGCATGCTCTACCCTGCTACTGTATCACGCTGTATGCTCTGGCGGACGTTTCTTGAAGCGTTTTTTACCGCGTCTCTTCAAAGCACCGCAGACTCCCGAGGCCTGCAATCCAAGACCCCCTACTTCTTGTCTTCTGTGCTGAAACTGTGAAAGGCCTCCTAAACGCTTCTGGACTCCAAAGTCCAAGAAGGACTAAGACATAATCACTGAGGCCCCGGGCCATCTTTCGGAGTGCAAAGAAAGACGCAGGCCACGGAGTCTTCGTGGTACTCCTTGACCAAGGCTTCCCAGCCTGCGCCCGCTGGCAGGTCGGCGCGATGGAGGATAGTAGACAAGCTCCGACCGTGTTCTGATTCTGGTTCCTTTCGCCGATGCAACGACCGATGCCGACAGCAGCAAGTGGACCATAATATAGGAGACAAATTAAAATGAACGCACATGGACTTTGACTTGGAGCTCCGGGCCTGCGGCATATTTGCCTGGAAAGGATACCCAGCAGGAGCGAGCGTTCTCGCGGATGTGCCCGTGGTAGCTCTGGGGAATGTTCTCAGAATCTGTTATGGCCGCCTCCTCCTGGAGAGAGCGGAGCGGCGCCATGGATTTATGAGCAGAGCTTTCAGCGGAGGGTTCAAGGCAAGAACCCCCAAAACTCCAAACCCTAAAACCCTAAACTCGGAACCCTAGAGTGAAGGATGTGAAGGTCTCGAGGGGGTCTCATCAGCCTTGCGTGTAACGCGAAGGTGAGCCTGCCCGGGCTGCCAAGACTATGAAAGCTTTGCAGATCTGCCGGAAACGACGGTTTGTTTGTGGTTGCGGGTTTTAGAGTAAAGCTTGCGTTTAGGATTTAGACTAGAGAGTTGGGCGTAGGGTGTTATAGGGACAACCACAATAAAGAGCAACTGCACCTTTCGGAAAACATAGCGTTCGCGCAACGGCTTTCCAAGACAAATCTTGCGCAGCTTTCCGGTCCTTCAGGGTGAGGTACAAAGTTTCCTGCAGTGGCCCCGAGGAGGAGGACACCATCGCTCCTGTCGCCGGGATAAACTAACCAGTGGTTTTGGGGGTTCCATGGCTCTTTAGCTCCTTATTTAATAGGGATTATCATCATCCCTGCCTCCTTAGCTCCTCCAATATCAATGGTTAGTAAAGGTGCACTCAGGGCTCGGGGCCGGGTGAAGGCAAGGTCGAAGCATGACGGTCGCAAGAGTTCGGATGAAGCGGGTGTTCTGATCTCCTGAGTGTTGCAAGAGGGTCTGCTATGCATTGAAATATCAGGCGAGGAAAAGGCGACATGACGGAAAACTATCAAAAAACTACAGTTATCATGACACTGGCTGGATAGTTTTCGTATACGCCGTGGTCACCAACGTTCGGGACCTTTTTACGGTCTACATGCCAGCTTGTGCAGGCGCCTTCTGGCAGCTCGTCGCTGACACCGATCTGCGCCTGCGATGTTGCCGTCCACGAGACCATTTGCTTATGGGAGGAGACATCAGTTGGGAACCCTTCGGCAAACGAACTTGAAAACGTTCTCAACAGTCTGCATCCGGAACCACCCTTCCACCCTCACCCGCACAACTGACCACGGCCACCCGCATGAAGGAAGTCCTAGGTCCTAGGTTCGGGTTCAGGGCGAGCTGAAAGCGGTTCAAGCGTGCCTCCTCTTTCTGTCCTCGCTGCCCTGGTTCTTCATCATCCAGCTTCTGCCACGGCTTTAAAGCTTCAGGGCGCAGAGGCTGGAAAAAGCCGTTTCGAGGTTTGAGTTTAGGCTATTGTATTTGGCTCAGGGTTGTGCGTGGATGCCTGGAAGCCTTTGCACCTTCCAAGCTGCGGCGCTTGCACATGCATTGCAAGTCGAAGAGCCATTCTCTCCGCTGACATGGCATCTTCATGCATTCCTGTGATCGACCAGGCCTGCACGGAACTCGTCACGACCTGTTCCGTCTCGGTCCGCATCTCATCCTCCCACGTCCAATCCACATATGTCTCAGTTGCAGGTGGTGCGGAGGCAAATAAAGGACTTGGACCGACGGTTCAGGCTAGTATTAATTCAAGTAGTCACCACCAAGACCATTGGAAGAAGACTTGTGGTGACAGTGAGCGCTGACTTCGAGACTGGTGACAGCTTTCATGCATGACGCAGTCACCACTCTAATGACGATTGAATACTATGCCCAGTCACCGAAACAACTGAAAGACGCCGAACTGAAGGTTTGCTGGCTCAGCCATCAGCCATAAACCCCACAGCTGAAGCGATTCAACCGTGCCTCCTCTTGATGTCCTCGCTGCTGCGGTTCGTCACCATCGAGCTTCTGCACGGACTTTTGGCTTCAGAGCTTATCGGAGAGAAAAAGCAATTTCGGGATTCCCTCGTCGCAGCGTGCCAACTGCGAGACTTGCATGTGAATCTCTCCCGAACAGCCAAGTGGAGTTTATACTGCATTCCTTTGATCGACCAGGCCTGCACGGAACTCGTCACGATCTGTTCCGTCTCGGTGCGCATCTCGTCCTCCCACTTCAACTCACATGTCACATATGTCTCAGACCAGCAACATGTGCCGGGTGGCGTGGAGATTCAGCATGTGGGTTGAGGGTTCAGGAGACTATAACTTCAAGCAGTCACCACCACAGACATCCACAGACAACATAGGAAAGAGCCTTGTAGCAATGACCTGACTTCGGGACTCAAGAGTGGCTTCATGATGCTTCATGCATGAGATGGGTATGGCTACATCTTTTAATTGCTTCTGGCGACATTGTAGACTTGTATAGGACAAAAAATCGGGTGTCGCAAACTTTAGCTTTATCCAGCCTTGAACGTTGGGGTATGAGAGCTCGCCATTGTGGCTAAGAGTAATGCTCGGGTTTGTTGCCGAGGTCGCGCATGAACCTGAACTTTTAAGGTCGTGAACTGCCACAAAACTGTCGAAGAAACAACTTGAAGCCGTTCTCAAAAGCCTGTATCCGGAACCACTATGCCTGGCACCTAAAAATCCTGAACTAAACTCAGCTGAAGATGACGGCTCAACCCTTAATTAACCACAAACCCACAGCCGACGCGCTTCAACCGTGCCTCGTCTTGATGTCTTCGCTGCTCTGATTCTGCATCCTCGAACTTCTGCCAGGACTCTAGGCTTCATGGCGTATCGGTTGGAAAAATACTGTTTCGAGATTAAGTTGGGTGTGCTTGGACTGCCTTGCTGCGAAGCTTGCACCTGCCTTCAACTCGCACAGCCATGCTGACATTGGATGCTGCTGCCTTTCTTTGATCGACCGGGCCTGTTCGAATTTCGTCACGATCTGCTCTGTCTCGGTCCACATCTTGTCCTCCCACTTCAACCCACAGATATGTCTCAGACCAGCAAGCATTTTGGGCTCAGGGTTCAGGCGGTTGCAAGCTCAAGGAGTCACCACCATACGCAACAGGAGGAAGACTTTTGGCAACCCTGAAGTGACATCGGGACCAGACCGATTTCATGCATAGCTGGCAACGTCAACCGTGCCTTCTCTTGAGGTTCTCGCTGCTCTGTTTCTTCGTCGTCGAGCTTCTGGGAGCATGTTCCGTGGGAATAGTTTAGGCTATTTGGCTTAGGGTCGTGTCTGCCGAGGGCCTGCAATGCTGCGAACCTCGGCTATGATGAGGTGGTGGAAGCGAGGTTTCGTGGAACTAGAATCACTCGGGAACATACAGAGAGGAACGGACAATGCAGCACGACAAGACAGGCATAGGTGCGGGTCACGGCCTTCAAGGGACCTTTTTGAAGGCTCCGGCTGTAGAGACGTGCGCTGCCCATACATTCAACTCCAACATACGTACGGCTTCGGGTTTATAGAGGAGCTACGGCTCAGGCTAAGGGTTGGGGGCTCGCTGACATTGAGATGTTGCTGCAAATCGATCCACATCGAGGTCGCACTACCGTGCATTCAATTCTCCGCCAGTTTGTGGTTTGTTCCGGCTGGACGCTGCTATCCGACCGTACACAGATGACGGGACTCCAAAGCACCAGCATCCGATGTCTAGACGGCGGTTCAGGTATACGAAAAGAAGTCAGATTCTCTGCCAGAAAAATCCCGACGCAGAAAAGCTGATTAGCCGGAGGCCTGTGGCAACGTCTCGAGGGGCTCCTCGGTCTTTCCAGGGTGCATCTCCTGCTTCTCAGCTGGAGCCTTTGTGACTGTGAACACGTTTTCGGCCTCTTGCATCCTTATTCTGTAGCCGCTTCAAGTCAACCGTCGGCCACGCTTCGCAGGTTACAAGACCAGACTCAGAGAAGTTCGAACAGGTCGGCCAAGGGCACTGCTACAAAAGAAAGAGCCTTTGCGGATCCCGGCCTCGTGTCTTGACGCTGCCGCGGCCTAGCCGACACAACGAAACACAGCAAGCAGCCCAGACTAATACACAAAGGCCTGACAGGTAGCCCACCCAACGGAAAGTTGCATGAACACTTGTGGGTAGATCCGCTGCAACTGACGGGGACCTCTCGTTGAGAGCTGGCCTCACATGCTGGTTCTTGAGACCTCTAGTCAGTTAGGTATCCTCTGCGAGGCGAGCCATCTTCAGACCTCACAGCTGCTCGCATCTGACCCGAAAAATCACAATTAAAACCGTCAACCTTAAACCCGAAGCCCAAAACCCGAAACCTCCAAACCTAAACCTCAAAGTCCAAGCACCCCGCCGCTCTCTCAACAGAGCCGGGCCTGAGAAACTGCGCCGCGCTGCTCCATCTTTGCAAAAAACTGCTCTTGGGCCTCATTGTGCTGAGGCTCGGAAGGTGTAGGTCCGGGAAGGTCTTATGAGGCTTGAAAATGCTTGCAGGGTCCAGGGTTTGCGGTTCAGGATGGTTCAAGGATTTAGGCCCTGTAGGCTTTAATGTTTTGCGCTTCCCTGTCTGTCTCTCGCGCTTGCTTGCTCTGTCGCTCTCTCTCTCTCTCTCTCTCTCTCTCTCTCTCTCTCTCGCGCTCTAGCTTGCGTGCGTTGATGCCTCAGCGATCCCCTTGCTTTCTCCTTCGTCGGGGGTCCTCTCTGCCTAGTGGAATCTTTCGGAATCTATAAGCAGGCGAATGATTCAACCACCTCTTGCCCATCAAACAGCTTCATCGCAATGGACCAGTCAATAAATCCTACGACCTGAGGACATGTGAAACCTAGAAGTGCTCGCAACTGCAGGTTCAACAAAAAGCGCAACATTTTGCAACCGACCTCTCATTCAAAACGTCTCAAACGGCCAGAGATGTCCAGTGAACCAAACTTGCTTCAGTACGAGGAACTTAGAAAAATGGTCAAGCCTCCTGAACCGAAGCCTGAGTCACAGCAGGGGCACTGTTGCATGGAGCCTCCCCACCCTACTAGTACCATCAGCCCAGAACCACCTCCGCCACCACCAATCAACAACGCCACCACGACCTCAACTTCACCGAGACAATACCGACGACTTGCAACTAACGAAGACTGCGCCAAGCACAACGAAAGCAACATATGTGACTTGTCGGATAAACCCCTCAAAACCTAAACCCGAAACCGCACCGAACATGTGCGCAGGCACCTGGAGCAAGCTCGCGAAGAGCTCTTTGGTCGTTGCAAGTTGTGCGTCCTGCTGGGCCTTGGCAAAAGGCAGCGTGCGGTTATGCCTTGAATCGCCCAAAATCATCCACATAAACCCATGACTGTGACAAAGGCGACAGCAGATCAGCCAGGCTCAAAGGGCGGGAGGGGGCCCTTGCAGGGAAAGGGCCCCCATTGAGCAAGAAACGATTGACACAACTCTAGGAGATAGATGCCCGCTTGCATGTGCTACGAACACCCTACCAGTAACACCCGCTGAACCGGCATTTTTTTACGGGGCCTGCGAGGATGTCAGCGACGTCTCCAGCTTGGTGAACTGCTCCTCCTGTCGCGCCTTGCAAGGAAGAGGGAACCGACCTCTATCCCATCGCCACACCCCTTGCAGTGTTTCTGCCATATCAACAGCGTGCCATGCACACTGTGATGTTCCATGTCCGTCTCTGTCATGGTTTCAGTTTGCGGGGCTGTAGTCTTCGATCTATGGCTACCGCAGGCTCACTCGATAATTGCCACTTCTGCAGAAGTGCGGTTCTGAGGATGCTGGGGGCTCGTCACGCAAAGAGCCCCGGCAGAACCCGACACTCTCAAGACATTCCGGTGAACCAGCTTCTAAAAAAAGTGTGGAAATCTTGGTGCAATCTCCGTGGCCGTGGCCTGCAGCGATGCCATGGACTGCTCCATCTTGCGGAACTCCTGTCGCACCCGGCCGAGCGACGAGTGCAGTTGGAGCCTTGACCCAGCCTACAGCCGCAAAAAGATCCCGGTAACTCTGCTCCGGGCTGCGGGTAAAGTATGCAACATTACGTACAGTAGTCTGGTGGCCTCCATCTGGCTAAGCTGCTCATCTTGCCGTGCCTGGCTGAGGGAACACTGTGGCCCTTAAAGAGCGAAGGCTTTGGTAGATACGCAACCCGGAACAGGTAGCTGGGCTGTCCATGTTTTGCTGAAGTCGGGCTGCAGCTGACATCAACATAAAAGTTGAAGAGGATGAGCATCTGATGCTTTCCCCTTCCCCAACACACTCCCTCAAATCCAACGGACTATGCCTGTTGCATCACATCATGATCGCAAGTCATAGATGGTTGTGCACCGTGCGTTCTGTAAAGGCACCTAACTCAGGCTGCACTGACTCAAAAGTGCTGTTTACCGAAAAAGCAGACCATGGGGGGAGGGGGCGGCAACATTTGTGATCAAATACTACTTGTTCAATCTACAGGAGCGTAATCTTTCGACATTCGCCCAACACACCAGTAAGCCGGCGCCCAGAAAGTGTGCACAATTATGGACGTAATTGTAGGAGCGTCCAGTCGTGCCTTGGCAAAGCCAAGTAACCGACCCCCTTTTCGCATGCCGCACCCCTTGCAGTGTTCCTGTCATACCACGAGCGCGCACTGCTCTGCATCATGTTCCCCCTGCCGTGACAACCCGAACTTGCTTCCGTCCTTGTCATAGGCTCGCTTTGCTTCGGGCAGAGCAATTGTGAAAAATAGGACTAGGAGCTATCCCGCTAGCTGCAACTTCTCTACACATGCACTTCGGATGCTGCAGGCCCTGCACGCAAACAGCCCCAACACACGACAGCCTCAAGATATCCCAATGAACCAGCTTCTAGAAGACAACTGTGGAAATCTAGGAGCTGTCTTCGAGGCCTGCAAGGATGCCATGGACTGCTCCAGCTTGCGGAACTGTTGGTCCTGTCCTGCCTGGCTGAGGGAGAGTAGAGTTGCGCTGAGAGCCCCAACAACACCCGACGACCACGAAAAAAGGAACGAAAGCCTGCTCCGGGAAGAGTATGCCAAATTCTGTAAGTCTAAGAGCAATCACCCTGGCCTCCATCCTGCGGAATTGCTCATCCTGCCGAGCCTGGGCTGTAGGAACAGTGCTCTTGAAGTGTGTGGCTTGGTGGGACTGGGCCTTTACGAGCGAGGGCTGTCGAGATTTCGACTGTTCACGTCACACCGGTCACACTCAAGACTCGAGCCGTTCAGCCTGCAGGGTGCAATCTCAACTGACACGGCAAGAACACCCGAAAGTTGCCGCTTCTCCAGAAAGCGTGATTCAAAGGACAGCCCCGGCGGCACCCGTCAGCCACAAAACCATCCCAGTAGAAAGAGAAGACTCTGGAAATCTCGAAGGAATCACAGTGGCCTGCAATGACGCCAAGGACTTCTCGATCTTGTGGAACTTCTCGTTCTGCCGGGCCTGGCTGAGCCAGGAGCGGAGTTCTGGCATCAGATCGGCCAAGCCTCCGGTGCTCCCTGCGCTCTGAAATCGTGGGGTTGTCATCAACTGCTAAACACCCTCTGGATTGCAGGTCTCTGATGCTTCGCCTCGCCTCACGTCTAAGTGACATGATCTTGCGTAACAAACCCGACTCTCCGAGTGCACCAGGTTGACAAGGGCATCCACATCTGCGAAGAGGCTTAGGAGTGCAATAGAACCCAGATGTGGCCTCTGCTCGAGCGTCGTCAGCCTTCGCCTGAAACTGTTTACTGGGCTGCGGGCTGAGAGCCATGACAAAGAGACGCTCGAGGCCGAGCCGACCCCAACAGTCGCAGGGTTTAGGGCTCGGGGCTTCTAGCGTACAGGGTTTTCGAAGACCGGAAGACCACGAAGGAAAATCCCACGCCCGTTGAAACCCTCCCAGGCGCCAAGCGCAACGTGCCCGGAACATCTCAGGGATGCCCTGCCTTGGAGGTCTCCAGCTCCGAAAGCTCCTTGTGAGAACTTCCGAATTCCGGGCATGGAATTGTTGGCATCTCTTTAGGATTTCAGGGTCAGCTTCGGGGCGTAGGGTCCCGGGCCTGGTTTCGGTGTTTGGGGCCGGGGTTTTCGGACCACGGCCGGGGATGATCAGATCATGTTCGCGATGGCTCAATGGAAGACTTCACTTCCTACAGCTCAGCCAGAAGCCTGCCGTTCGGAAGTTCCTGGCTCAATCTGGCTCACCTTTGCAGCAACCTGCTCGACAGTGCTCGCCACCGAACAACAGAACGGCCCTCCCCAAGAGCTCCTGCTTCAGCACTTCGTTCCGCTGGCGCAGGGACATGCAGATGGCTCGACCCTGGCCCTCGCGGCTCCCGGCGCGCCGTCGGAGCCAGTCGATCATGAAGGCCTCTGCATCCTGCGCACAGCGAGAGGAGAGGTGGAGGCGGAGAAAGTGCGAAACGGTTTGCTGCAGGTCCCAAGCTGAGGATTCTGTTGACCAGCCCGGCTTGCATCTGCAACCCTACAGCTGCAACTTTTGGAAGGTGCACCGTTACACGTGCACTGATTCTGGTACTTCGGGTCTGGATCCAGGCATGTTGGGCAGGAAGCTTTGCTTATAGTTTCAGCTGGACGCGTAATGAGCTTGTCAAGGCAGCAACAGAGACCTGAAGGCAAGTACGGGGAAGGGATCGTAGCAGTTTCAGGGAGCCTCTGAACTATGAACGTCTGCAGCTTGCAGTTCCGTCTAGAAGGCTCGCGGATGGTCCGGCCTCGGGCATCGCCTCATCCTGGAGCAGGTCCTCGATGAGGTCCGTCAGCAGGGGCTGGACGATCTCCAGGAGGTACTTCTGCTCTTCAGGCAGAGTTTCTTCGGAGGCTGGCATCTTGGCGGCAGAGGCCATCGCCAGCGTCGCCGACGCTCGAGCAAACAGGCTGCAACCTTGAGCAGATAACGGGAAGCACGCATCCAGCGGGTTCTCTTTCAAACTCCCCAAATCCTAAACCCTGTGGCTATAGACTCCATTGTAAAGTCGGGCCTGACCCTGGACTTCATGATGCCTGCTGCTTCTCGGTGGCACGCGGTGCTTCGGTTTCAAAGTCTGCGGTGCACCGGAAAATGGGCAGGGAAAGAGCCGTCTCGGTCCAAGACGTTTTTCACCAAGCGCGAAACATCTTGTAAGTAGATGGGCGATCTCCCCCCGCTGCATTCGGAAGGGGCTGGCTCCAAGAAAACCCGATCATGCTATCTCGTTCCCGTTCCCCAAATTACATGCCCCTAAACGGAAAAATAATGAATAAGTGCTTCCTATGCCACAACCCTACATCGATCTACATCCGAGATGACGAGAGCCTGAAGCTTGAAATGTGAGCTCTGAATCCGTTGGAAAAACAAACCTGAGCCCCGTGAACCCAACGAGAAGCTCTGCGTGAAGACTTCAAGACATGTCTTTCAGGAATTCCTGACACCGATGCTGCAAAGCATGGGAAAGCGATCTGACACGAATCAATGACAATTTGTGATAAGCAACCTCGATTGCCAATTCGCTCCTTCTCTCATAAAGTAACGGCTGTAGTCTCTGCAGCCTTTGGGTGTGTGTGGCTCGGACTCAGCATGGAGGTCTAAGCACTACTCCTCTTGAAACGGTTTCGTCGACAACTTCTCACAGTTGGAAGGTGGCCTGGCAGCAAAAGTCACGAGCAAGGGCTGCCAACTGATGAAAAGCCCGTCATTCATCATCGGCATCCGCAACGTCGTCATCATCACCGCAGTAGCACCATCATCCTCACCATCCTCTCGCCATGATTAAATAATAGCAACGCTCCTATTTTCCTTGAGCCAAAAGCAAGGTCAGTTGCATCTTACCATTTAGGAAGATACGTGTCCGGAATCACCCCTCCTGGGCGGAGGCGATTCCGCTGACGTCCACTTTAGGACACCGTACACTATACAACTGCTTTCGCTAAACCGCTTCTACCTGAGACTACTTCGAAGCCCATGCGTTTCAGGTGCTGCTCAGCACTTTCCACGGCTAGCGACTTAGTAAGCAGGTCAGCCGTGTTCAGCTTGGTGTCGATTTTGAACAGCTCGAACTGCTTGTTTGCGAGCTTCTCTTGGATCCAAAGGTAACGTGTTTGCACGTGTCGGGACTTACCCAACCCGAGTCTGTTGCAGGTACCCAGCGCAGCAGCGCTGTCAGTGTGAACCTGCAGCTTCACGTCCAAGCCCCATCCACGCAGCAACTCTTGAGTAGCCATCCCACTGGCCACTCCCTTCACCAGAGCGTAATACTCGGCTTCTCCCGAGGATAGTGACACCGTGCTTTGAAGGTTGCTCGAGTGTCTCACCTCGTGCTTGCCGTAGTAGCACACGAGTCCGGTGGTGCTTTTGCGTGTCTGAAGGCATCCCGCGAAGTCACTGTCCGCATGGACTGTGACCACCTCGCTGAACCTCTGTGGCGTGAACCTCTGTACCAGCCGCATTGTACCTTTCAGATACCGAGCCACCCTTTTGAAGTCTCCGAAGTCAGCCTCCGTAGGCCCTTGCATCTTCCGTGCAAGGCACTTGACGGTTTCAGACAGATCTGGCCTGTCTTGCGCCAAAAAGGCCGCACGCATGACCAAGGAGCGGTACTTGCTAATGCGGTCCGGCGCAACCGTAGGCATCTCCAGACGCTTTGCAACGTCTTCTGCCTTAAGCTTTTCGTTTGGGCTCTTTACCGGCTTACAGGTTTCCATTTCCAAGTCTTTCAGAATGATTTCAGCGTGCCTGGGATCAGGCTCGTAGGAGATAGTGCCCGACCTCTCGTCGAAACGTACGAGACGGTTCAGTACACAAAACTCCTGCCTCTTTTCCCCTTGCCCGATGCTTCCATCAACCCTGAGGTCGTACTTGGATCTCAGGATCTGCTCAACGTAGGCTTGGCCGGCGTCGTCACTCAAAATGAGGAAATCGTCACCATGGACCAGGAGACGAATCTCTCGATCCTTGTGGAAGAAGATGGCAGGCCATGCTGGGCATCTTTCGAACAAAGCAGCCAGAAGGGCCGCGGTGTAATCAGCCTGCCATATGGCAGCTGCATCCCGCGTCCCATACATGGACTTGCGAAGCTTGCCAACCATCCCTGGTGTACGGTCACCCTCAACGTCACAAAGACATCCCTCTGGGCCTTCCCATAGAAGTGAGCCCGGGATATGTCGATGAGCCGAAGTTTCAGAGGTGATCGGCTCTTCTTGGCGACCTTCAGTGTCACCATGAGTGACAGGAGCAGTTTTACCGCCTCGAGGGGCGGCATCGCGCTAAAGGAAGCGAACTCAGGAATGAATTCCGCGTTCTTGGCACGCTTTACCTCACGACAGACAAGTCGTGATCGGTAGTTGGGCCGTTCGTTATCTCCTTTATTGCGATCTACCCATTTCATCGTTATGGGCATCTTTCCTGCAGCCTTTGCTTGCTCCTCCGGAACTTTCTCGTAGAGGTCTTGCTTTCGAACCCACTCTAGTTCTTCCTTGCGAGCAGTTGCAACCCTCTCAAGGTCCAACTCTGCTCCAGTGTTGGAGTCGTAGACAGGTCCCTCGATAGGGTCGCTCGCCTCCGGAAGGTGGTTGAAGACCTCTTCCTCCTCGTCGATGACAGGGGCAGCGTCCGGTACAGGACCTGCCTCCATCATGTTGAGAGCTTGAGAGAACTCACCGTCCTCGATCAGTTGGGCGCGAAACGCCTCCAAGATACCCTGCACAAGCTTTGCGGGATATTCCTGGGTGGCCTTGACCCGTCCCTTGACGATCTCGGCCTCCCGGTGCCAAAGCTTGCCCTTCGATGCTGCGCTCCTTGCTGGGCCATAGGCGGGTGCACGGTTGCGTTGCTTTGTTGCCGGGAAGTTGCCGGGAAGTTGCCGGGTAAATCGGCTCGTGCTGGAAACAAAAAAGATATAGTTTGTTTGCGGTTAGTCAACAATCAAAACCAAAGGCTGGGTGGCTGAGAAACCAAAATTAGGAACGTCTTCAAACTTGAGTTGTATGTCGTATGTTTTGGCAAACCAAGACAAACTTTTTACCCAAGAAAAAACGAAACAATTGTCAAATTTCTGTTTGTTTTGATGGAGCACATGACAAGCGACATTCGACTATGTGTTTGGGGGTTTAGGGTTTCCAAGGTTTATGTTTGGTAATACCAACTATAACTATATCATAAGGGAAAACTGAAGTAAATTATACCATCATGCATTAGAGACTTCAGAGATATGACAGACAAATATATAGATAGATAGATAGATAGATAGATATGATTAGAATGTCTGCAGCAGCGTCCTTGCGTGTGGTGCTGAAGAGTACCTGTTTGTTTCTGCAGTGGTGCTGATGAGTACCAGTGGTGCTGAAGAGTGCCTGCTTGTTTTCTGCAGTGGTGCTGATGAGTACCCTTGGTGCTGAAGAGTACCACTTATCATGGTTGGGGTTCAGGGTTGATATTAATAAGGCCTTTAAAGCCCAAAAAAGAACGCCCGACCATCCAGCTTAGGGGGTGTGGGGTAGACCCTGCACGGATTCCCGATATCAAGCCTGCTTATAAACTAGCATGCTGCCATCCTGGTATGTAGTCGTTATCAAGGCAACTTAAGAATACACCCCTAACGCTTGGATTAGTTCAGGAGTTCGGTGTTTGACCCAAAGTCAAGGTTCCTTAGCAGGATTTCCAGGGATTGCTTCTGGAAGCGTGAGTTTGCCATTGTTGCCTTACAGTTTTCACAAGTAGTACTGGTAATTCATTCGGCTGCTACAGTACTACCTGCAGGGGTTCAGGATTGACGGTCCGGGTTGTCGGTGTTGAAGTCTTTTTGTTAAGGGTCGGGGCCTAGTGAGAAGGTTCGTTCGGCTTTGATGCCATACTCTTTGCATAAAACTCCTCAATCCTAAAGCAAGACTGAAGCCTTTGCTTTGAACCGTTACACTCTACTCCTTCAGCTCGTGTAGCATGGTGAACTGCGACACTACCCCATTCTTGAGCACCACAGTCGGCCTAGAACTAGCAACACTTTTTGAAAGCACTCTTCAGCACCACAGCTCAGTGACACGCCGCTCTTCAGCAGCACAGGTGCAACGTAGCGAAACCGCGAAACCCTGGGTCTCGAGCTGAGTCTTTGGCAGTGCGCTGGTCTACCTGATCATGGCAGCATTGCTTCATAATCATGTATCTACGAACGCCTGATCTCCGGCTGAGTCTTTGGCAGTTTACGCCAGGCCTCGTCGACAGCCTCGGCATCCGACTCAGCCTCCGATGCATACTGTCATCAAATTATCTGTGGTGCTGAAGAGTACCTACCCATCCCCAGCTGTGCTGCTGAAGAGTGGCATTTCAGTTGCAGAACCCTACCAGCAGTTTGGGGTCTCAAGTTCCTAGCACCACGGCTGGTTACGGCCTGATTATTTAAATCTCCTTCCAACTTCTCAACCCAGCCCAGGTCGTGTGGCCTCCTTCCGCAGCACCATGTGCCACCCAGCCCAAGTCAGGTCCTGGCCTCAGGACCGAAGAAGCTGGGCAAACTATGAATAACGTAATGTATGGAATCAAAGAGGAAGGCGAAGGTATGATTGGCTTGGCAGAGGTGCAAGCAAATAATAAGCTCAAGTTGTTTTTCTCGTGCCCAAAGCCCAGTGAGATCGTCCGGCATCATAGGTCTTGTCATCCATCCGCTTCATCATTTGCTTGCCTGGCCGAGATATTTCATTGTTCGCCTATGTTTGATAAGACGTCCATTACAAAGCCCGCCTTCTTCTCCTTCTTCTTTCGCGGAAGCGGCGCCTCTGTCACCTCCGTTGAAGCCTCCTGCCGAAACAACTGCTGCCAACACTGCCAAATGTTTGGTCATTGTGCAATAGGAGAGTGCATCAGAGTTTAGCCCAGCCTCCGGGATCTTCGCTTTCTTGGCTTGGACCTGCCGTGCTATGATGTTATGCCAACTCGGGATTTTTAAAGAGGGGTGCATGAAATACCCAGCCTTCTTGTCATCTTCTTTCGGATCTTTCTTCCTCTTAGCAGAGTCTGCTCTCATCCTTGCGACCTGCCAAACGTTGAAAAAGACTGCCGCTCTGACTCTGACACTCGGCCTGCCTCCGGGTACTTGGCCGCCACCAGCTCCATCTGCTGTTGTGCAGTCAGCTCGTCATCTCTTTTAACCGCCTGAAGGCTTCAAACCCTAAGGCTTACCAGAAGTGAGTCGAAAATGACAGTGGCCTCCGGAAGATCTGCTTGTGGAAGATCTGCTTGCGGGAACTCCTGCGTGCGGGTCGGCAGGATGCAATTCAAAAGCTTCTTGGAATCTGTTCAACTGCCGAAACCGGAGCTTGACCGTCAGACGAAAAAGACACTGACTGGCCTTTGAAGAGGTACCAGGATTCGCCGTCTCGGGCTTCGACTCTTTCTTGTCGTCCTACACAACGATTGTCGTCAGGCTGCTAAAGCTAGGAAACTCCAGGAATCGAGTAGATCACCGATCAAAACAACTCCGGCCTTTGCAAGGCTCTTCTTGGCGTCTGGCTTCGTTTCCTTCTCCTGCTGAGCCTGTTGTGAGGCTGAGGCTGCAATCTTCTCCAAGTCACTGAGCTTGGAATATCGCCATTCCTTGCTCGACTGCTTCCAAAACTCCACGGATTCCAAGAGCTCGTTGATGCGCGTAGTTTGACGAGACTTCTCGAGCTCGTAGGCCTCCTTCTGCTCGGCCAACAGTTTTTGCGCAGACTGTTGCTCGCGCTGAACGGCCTTCAGGATCTCAGCGTCACTGTAGGCCTTCCAGCGCTCGCCCAGCTGCAGCAGCGCATCCGTCTTGTCGGCCTCGGCAGCCGCCTTCGCCGCCAAGTTCGCCGCCTCGACGTAGGCCTTCTTCTCCTCGTTGAACCTCACCTGTTGTTGCGCCAGCTCTGCTGAGAGTTGTGCCTGGTGTAACTCTGCACAAGTCTGCTTCACCTCTCTCATCTTCGCGTCGAACTCCCTGCGAAGCTGACTGAAGTTCGGGCGAGCGCCCGAAGCTCGGCTTGCCTCCATCAGCTGAGTCACATCTTCGTCGTGCCCACGCAAGGGCGGAGTGAAGGATGGCCCTTTCTGCTTCGTCGTAGGTTGTGGAGGTCGAGGTCCGGGCCCTTGTGGAGGTGGAGGTACGGGTTCTTGTGGAGGAGGCCCGGGCGGAGGCCCGGGCGGAGGCCCGGGTGGAGGCCCGGGCGGAGGCCCTGGTGGTCCGGGTGGAGGCCCAAGCGGTGGCCTCCTTTCAGGTCCAGCTCGTGGCGGAGGCGGAGGTGCTTCCACCGGCGAATTGTAGTCTCGCCCATGCACCTTATCATCCTGCGAGTGCCAGTCCTGCCAGCCATCCCACGCCGGATCATATTGCCATTGGGAATAGGACCAACCACTTGTTGACCATTCCGCATCCATGGTTCTATAACGGCTAGAGGAGCTCTCAAGTGAAGTATGACTTTGTAAAGTCTGGTAGCGAGGTCAGAACCTGGAAGGTCTGAGAAATTAGGTTGCAATCACAGGTCCTAGTGCTAGAACTCTGTGAAGACATTAGTGTAGGAAGTCTGTGGTTATGCCCATGTGACCTGAACGTGTGATGTTGAAACAGAAGGTCTGTGGACTACTCTTTGCAAAGTCTTCGGCAACGATAACTGTTGAACTTTTATTGCATACATAACCATGATGGAACCAGAACTTGGAATGCAGAAGTTGCGGCGAGGAAAACTCGACACAGTAGCAACCAGAATAAGGCCACTCTTCAGCAGCACAGCGAGGCACGACAACAACCCAACACAGCTGAAACTTCCTGCGTCTCAGGTTGAGTCGCTGCTCACTGAGTCTTCGGCCGGACTCCAGCCAGGAGCTTGGAGCACGACCTGGCCAGGGCTGAGCTTAGACATTGGACCTAGATTGTGGAACTCACATGCCACTCTTCAGCAGCACAACATCATTGTGGAATTCAGATGCCACTCTTCAGCAGCACAGCATCATTGTGGAACTCAGATGCCACTCTTCAGCAGCACAGCATTTGTGGACAGCCGGCAAGCACTAAACCCTCAAACCCAAACAAACCCCAGGCTTCTCTGACCAAGCCTTGTCCGCTGATGTGGCCGTGGCCTCGGACACAATGGTGCCTTCCGATTGCTTCTGTTCGTTAGCCGTAGCAGCTGTGGTGCTGAAGAGTGCCGTAGTAGTAAGCTGTGGTGCTGAAGAGTGCCACGTGCTGTTTTTGTGTTGCTAAAGAGTGCTTTGTAGCCTAAAGAGTGCTTTGTAGCTGTGGTGCTGAAGAGCGCCTTCCGATTGCTGCTGTTGTTTGAGCTGTGGTGCTGAAGAGTGCCGCCTGCTGTTTTTTTTCGAGTTCTGGGCTGGGAGTCCGCCTTTCCCGGGTTAAGGCGGACTGCCATGAATCCGACCGAAAAAACCAGGGTTTCGGGATCGAAGATGTAGGACTTTCCAGGAATCGAAGTCTGATGGACATGACTCACGCTGGGGAGTGACTGGATAAAGATAACATGTGCAATCAGGCAGGAATAAAGACGTATTGCAGCAGTTTGCTCGGGCATCCGTAGTTTGATTTTGGAGTCTTCTCCGTCTATATAAATCCTCGAGTGTTTGTCATGGCCAAGCGACTTGGCCGACCATGCAAGAAAGCCAAGACTACAAAGAAGAAGACCCCAGAAAAGAAGCTTGGCAAAGCCTCTTCGCTTCCTGGTCCCCTCTGGGGTGCCTGGCTTGACCACGTACTCGCTCAAGGCAGTACCTGGCTGTGGGTGGCGCTGGTGCTTAGTCACTGCTTCTGTCTGAGAATCACTGAAGTGCTCAAGCTCAAAGCCAGAGATTTTCTATGGAAGAAGAAATGTGTGCATATTGCACCTCTCAAGCGCCAGAAAGCTGTTCACAAGAGCATGCTCTCCGCCCTCGTGCCGTTCCTGAAATCTCTGCGAAGCAAAGGCAAGGCCAAGAAGCGCTATCAGAAGAAAGGTGTGCGGGGGGTGGTTGCCTTCTTCGATACGTGGAAGTGGCCCGCTAAAGACACCGATTACCTCTTCCCCTCACACAGATCGGATGCGAAGACAGAGCACCGGAGCAAGGACACGGTCACGAAGTCCATCGGTCGTCTTCGCCTCACCTTTGCACCGCCAGCGGAGGTTTTCGTTGAGGCAGAGAAGATCAGGTCACACAGCGGGCGTCACCGAGCCATAAATGACATGAAAAACGCCAACATCTCACAGCATGTGGCTATGAAGTTCGCACGCATCTCTGATGTCCGCACCTTTCTTGGCTATGGTGAACTCACTGATGAACAAACAGGTGCATCCCTCGAGAAGTCTGTCCCCCTGAAGAGTATTTTGCAAAAGATGTACGTCAAATCCAAGAAGAACCCGACGGTGAAAAAGAACAGCATGAAGATCATGAAGAAATCTATGAAGTGATCTCCGAGACGGCTGACTTCATCTTGTGTCTTGGCGGTTGAGGCCCGGACATGTCCTGAAAGAGACCACACACCTCGCAGCAGAGCTCACAGTAACGGATCGCTGCATCTGACGCAAAAGACGAAGCGGCTCTGAGTCTCCCTCTGTGTGATCTGCTTCAGAACATGTCAGCCGAAGACCACCGATCCTGTCAGTACGCATTTTGTGTTATGATTTCTGCAGGTTGCTACAGATCAATGGTCAAGAGGTGTCAGGTTCTTCGGACAAGCGCAATCTGATCAGACTCCGCCGAGTGAAGTCCCCTCATGATCCAGCGCTGCTGAACCCCGCAACGCTACCCTGCAGCAAAGGCGTGTGGGTCAGTCTGAAACATGAAAGTGTTCTTTGCACCACTTGTCGCTAGTACTCATTATAATTAACTTCCTCATATCATGGGTCACCTCCCACAAACACCTTCTCTGCAACGCGGGACATCTGCCTTTGCAAAAAACTGCAGGAAACTGAACATGGTGAAAGCATTGGGTCGGTTCTTGTATACAGCATCATTCTGCTTCATGCTGTCTGTGACAATGGCCATGTGAAAGAATGCCGATTCCGACTTCTTCTTCTCGCTGACCGCCTCCAAGAACTGAAGCTCAGAAATCAGCTTCCAGTGCGAAGTTGGTGAGCCTGCCACATCTTCCAGGGCTCTTGCTTGTTCCGAATGGACTCTCTGAAACTCACTAGTCAGACAAATCCTTCGTCGAGACTTGGTGGCGTTTGTGTATGCCAACACAACACCCTTGGTGCCTTCAGAGGCCGCAAACTCACAGTTGCAAACGCAGCGGCCCGCACACACTGCGTAGATCCAAGAAGCTGAAGCCTCCATCGCCATGCTCGGGAGCAAATAGTAGCCTGCAGCTGGCCGCCCTACCACCTCAATCTTCTTCTGGCAGAACACGCGCAGCACGTCTTGGAAACATGCTTGCTGGCAATCCGCAGGAATATCCACAAAGAACCGGGAGTCCGCCAATGTATGTTGCTGCCGCTCCACATTCTCATTGATTTTTCGCCATTTGTTCTTGTGGCCCTTCTCCGTCTCTCTCAGAAGTTTCAACCTCTGCTCGCAATCCTGAAGAAGATTCTGGTCAGTCGTGATCTCCTCGGGTAGAAGCTCATTGGCAACCAATGCCTTGACCTTGTTGTCCCGAGCGAGCTGGTCCAGCGTCTTCAGCTCTCGATCGTGCCGCTCAGTCCATTGTCGTGAAGCAGCAGCAGATGCTGCCTGCACAATCTCATCTTTGCTTCTGCGCTTCTTAAGCTGTCCCAAATGCTTGGACTGTGTCTTGCATTTGTGCCGCCATTCAGCTTCACTGCCTTTCTGCTTCTGTGGCAGTCGTGTCTGAAGCCGAGGTCCTTTGCAAAGCCTGGGCTTGCCATAGGTTGACATCCACATTCTCGCCGCGTCTTGGGCCACCGCTTCCTCCGGGCCCTTGAGACCCAAGCGAAGTGTGCCCTCTTGCATCTCCAGAATCATGTGGGAGCGCTCCTTACAGACCAAGCGCTCAAAGATGCTGAAGTGCTGCTCCACCTGCGAAGTGGAGGCACCATGGAAGGCACAGTATCGAGCCAAGACGACATCCAGGGCCGCCAGGTCATGATGGCACTGATGGCGCAAGCCCCGGTTGGCGAACTTCTTGCGGGTCATAACCCAGGCCTCCAAGTTGGAATTTGCCTGCCCTGACTTGAGAAAGTTCTGTGCGTTGTAGAAGCAGAGTTGGAATTGTTTCTTGAACTCGTCCGCATCAACACGAAACACCTGGGCCAATCTTTGCAATTCTGCTCTGCGCACTTCATGCCGATCGGTCTGCTCCTCGCACTTGCGCACATTGCAACTTAGGTCGAAAACATGGAAGGCCTGCACTGTCTGATATTGAGGAAACTCCGCCTGAAGACGTTTCGTGGCGAGGGTAACCCATCCACACATGCGGTCCAAGCATGAACGGATCATCCTGTCCGTCAGCTTCCCTGCACCGCCCAGCACCTTGATGCCGTCAGGCAGACGGGCCACGCGCTCCTTGCGAAGGTGTTCTATCATGATCTCTGTATGCCCATAGGAAAGCACTTCCTCATGAACGAACAGCACATCGATATTGTGCAAGAAGTCGCTCAAAGCTTGAAACATCAAAGCCGGATCATACGACTCCTTAGGTTTCGGAGCTTTGCTATTATTTATCTCCCAGTGTTGGTGGATCCAAATCAATCCTAGTCTGGTTCTATCTTTATGACTTAGCCCTGGTAATGAACCAAGTGACAGCATCGAGAAAGCGGACGAGCTCGAGAGACTGAAGGCTTGCATCTGCTAGCAATGCCAGTTGGAGAAGCGTCTCCTCACTCGCCTCCCGAAGGAACTGTTCCGCCTTAGCAGCTGGCACTGATCCCTGTCTCCTGACGACAACGTCTAGCGCCGACCTCCATATCGCATCGAATAGCACACAGAATCTCCCTAAAGGTTTGCAAGAGCTTTCGAAACGATGTGGACAGTAGTCCAAACACCGGATTCTCTTCCGTGTTTGCTCGCTCAAAGCAATATCCCCAGTCAGCTCATCCACGTTTCCAGCGAAGAGACCCTTCAAGTCGAAAGAATGCTGGAGCAAATTGGTCATGGAGTCCGGCGATGAAATGTACATGCCGTAGACCTGCGACAGCACCGGGTCTGCTGCCCATGGGTGCGTACTCAAACGCCGCGCACAGTGCGTTGGATCCTTGATGCAGACTTTCACATTCTTCAAGTAGTCCTGCCCCAGCAGTCGGAGGCAACGTTGTTCATCCGATGCCCCATCAGCATCCAGGAGTTCCACGGAGTCTGCGATCTTCTGCAAGAGGCTGTCATCCAGCCGACCATCGATGGTGCAGAAACGTTTGAGCACCTCATGTGAACTAATGGAGAGTTCATTCGAGAGGGTGCCTGGCTGCAGGTGCAGGCCTAGAAGGCCTGTCTGCACA